CTTAGCTTACTGTTAAAATAGCTTGGGTCCAGAATGAATTAAACATTTCAAGCAGAGGGCTGGAGAGATGGTACAATGAGTAAGAACATTTGCTGCTCTTGCAGAGGACCTGGGCTCAGTTTCTGGGTTCACACTGACCTGTAACCCCAGTTCCAGGGGATCTGATGCCCTCTTCTGACCTCCCCAGAACCTACACATATGTGCATAGACAAACATGCAGGCAAAACACCCACACACATAAAACAAAGACTAGGTAAAATCTAGCTGCTCATGAGCAGAGAGTGAGAAGATCAGTGAGCAGCAGTCTTCAGTGGTTACTGCCGTGACTTCCCTCAGTGACGGAGTATGGCCTGGAAGATGCAGCACACCCTGTCCTTCTCAAGTCGCTTTTGGTCACAGTGTTTATCATGACAACAGAAAGCAGACTATGGCAGAGGCCGTCACTATGTGGCCCTGCTCTCAAGGTGTCCTTACCTGAAGCGGCTGTGAAGGGTTAATGACCCACAAGCCTCAGGGAAGCTGACTTGACTGATGGCACCTGGTCAGGAGACCCTGCACCAAACCTACTGGTGTCTACCACTTCCAGACTGCAGGGACCTGGCCTGCACGTGGACAATTCCATCCCCAAAGTTCCCTTTTCCATCCTGTAAAGCCCAAGACCCCCACACCATGTGTGTAGTCTCTGCTTCTAAAGATGGCAGCCCTTCAGTTCCGTTTCTGGAGATGCCTGGCTTTCTTATTTCCACATCACTTCCATTAATCCCAATCTAACGTCCTATGTGTCTGTCACAGTCCCCAGAGCAGCTCCTAATGGACTTGGTCTGTAGCTGCCTCATACAAACTTCAGGTCATCTCGCAACTCTAATCTTTGCCCAGCAACAGGCCTGACCGCAGCCATCCCTGACATGGTGTATGTGTGTCAACTTAATTGGCTTTTAATCAGAAGCGACACATTGGGAAACCCTGCAAGGTCTAAGCAGCGAGCCACGGTGATGTGACTGGGAAGCAAATGCTGGCCAGTCTGCCAGGTGAGTCGTGACCATCACCAGAAGTTCCTGAGTTCCTGAGTGTGGAAGACATCTGCCTGCACAACAGACAGGTTTTGGTTGTTGCTTTTTTCTCCTTTTTCCCTTTTTCTTAGCAAACCAGTATGCCGGGTTCCAGAAGTTTCTCACCTAAAATAAGCACACTTTGAGAGTTGGTGGATCAGGCTCATCGTGTCCACACTGTGCCAGACACTGAGGAACAAAAGAAAGCCCAGTGGCTCTTGAGGTCCAATGGTTTGAAGTGTGAGCCTTGGTACCTCTCCAGCAGGCCATGTATCTCCCCCCTCACTCACTACAGAGCTGTGGCTGGCCTGCAACTTGCTGTGTAGAAAGGCTGACCTAGAACTCACAGGGCTCTGCCTGCCTCTGCCTCCCTCTGCTGGGATTAATGGTGTGCACCACCACCTGCCTCACACCTTGAACTGCGCCCAGCAGTCTCCACAGCCTGGCTTAAAGGCTCTACAACTGCCACTAACAAGCAGGTGGACTTGGGTCATTCCATAATTTCACTTGCGACTCAGAAGACTGAGGCAGGAAGACCTATTGAGCCTAAGAATTTGAAGCCAGGATGGATAACATAGGAGGACTCTGGGGAAAGGGGAGAGGTTTCACCTAGAACATTTCTGGATGTATGTCTCTGTACTAGAGTGGTTGGTCCATTGAGGGAGTTTACATTTGCAAAACAATTGGATACAAGCAGTCACAACATTCCCTTGTAATGACAACAAATTAGAAAACACCCTAAGTTTGAGAGTCTGCAAGTGCCCTCATGTGTAAGAGACACCGCTGAGATGGGGCTTGAGGCTGCAGTGAGGACAGCCTGCTTGTCCTGAGTGTGTGTGGGTGTGTGTGCGCGCGCGCGTGCACCTCACATGTGGTCAGAGGGCAATGCTGAGGTGGTCTCTATCCACTGTGTGGGTCTCAGGAACCAAACTCAGGTTGTCAGGGTTGATGGCAGGTGTCTTTGCTGCTTAGTCATCTTGCTGGCCCTGCACCTTTATATTTTGATGCCAAGCAAGCACAGTACCTACACTCACAAGCTTGGAAAGATTCAAACAGCCAGTGTTGCTGTAGCTGGCCCCCAGCAGCACCTACTTCTTTCTTCTTCTCCATGTTTCCTACTTGAATCACGGGATGAGAAGCAAGCTTTCTCCTGCCCTTCAGGCACAGCAGTCTAGACGGTGGCCCCAAGACAAAATGCCCTGTGTCTCCTCCTCTCTCGGGACTTCGGGGGATCTGGCCCCTCCACAGCAACGCTCTAGACACCTCTTCCATCAATCCCTCATCTTCTGCCAGGCTCAAGCACAACAATGGCTGCTGCTGATGTGTGTGCAACCAGCTTTTCTTGTCGAAGGTGTCACAGCACATCCTGTTCCCTTCTGTCACCAACAAGAAAGCTCTACACAGCTCTGGCCAGACACAGGCCAGCAGAAAGCTAGCTGCCTGGGTTCCTCAAATAGACAGCTGGAGAGGAGAAACACAGCTGAGAGCTTTAAAGACCTCCTTTTAATTATGAGTGTGAGCACTTGGTGGGTAAGTCAGGGCTATCAGACCACCTGGAGCTGGAGCTGCCTCATGAGGTGCTATGAATCAAACTTGGTTCTTCTACAAGAGCAGTCTGCACTTTTAACCACTAAGCCGTTTCTCCAGCCCTTTATTTTGTTGTTTTTAGACAGGATCTCATGTAGCCCAGGTTGGCCTAAAGTTCCATATATAGCCAAGGATAACCTTGAATTCCGCATCCTGCCACCATGCCTGGCTAAACTAATTTTTTTAAAGAACAGAGTCTTGCTGTGATTGACTGACCAGGAACTAACTAAGTAGACCAGGCTGGCCTAGAACTCAGATCTCTGCCTCTGCTTCCTGAGTGCTTGGCCTAGCTAAACAACTTTATTTCCTTACATACTAAATAAAACATAATCAAACATTCAAGGATTCTCACTCCACATATGCCTGCTGGTAGTGTGCAGGGTCCAGGCATTGAGTTGTAACAGGAAGTTATCCTGGGGGACAAAATGGATCTCCTATCTGATTCTATCTCATACTGCCTTCCCTAGAACCCTTAGCTCTCCACCTCCTCAGGGCTTTCCCTCACCTGTTTTTGCTAAATCCCACCCAACTTGCCTAGTATGAGTCAGACTGGGTTTCGTGTACCTGCGAACAAGCTGCTTCTTTATATTTGAAATGTCCAGGGCAGTTATCAGGCCTCTGTTGGCCACCCAGACTTGCATCCTGTTCTCCATCCCTGCTTCTCCTTTTTGTTTGTGTGTTTGTGTTTTGGAGACAGGGTTTCTCTGTGTAGCTTTGGAGCCTGTTCTGGAACTCACTCTGTAGACCCAGACAGGCCTCAAAGTCACAGAGATCTACCTGCCTCTGCCTCCTGAGTGCTGGGATTAAAGGTGTGTGCCCCTACCACCTGGCAGCTGGAAACTTTTGATTTGTGTGTTTAGTAGGTATGGAACCAAGGGCCTCACACGTGCTCAACACATGTTCTACCACTGAGCCACACCCACAGCTCTTCTATGACATTATGTCATTCTAAAATTATTCTAAAATAAGCTTATTAACAAAATTGGAGCTGTGGGTAAGCTGTGATAGAGCACCTGCCTAGAATGCATGAGGCTCTGAACCAAAGACAGACTATTATTCAGATTGGTCACTAACATTGTTCAGTTACGTGTGTGTGTGTGTGTGTGTGTGTGTGTGTGTGTGTTTCACATGTCTGCACTATACATGTCTGTGGTGAGGCAGGAATTTGCTCTAATCCTTAAGAAGACATAATAACTACATAGGCACTGGTCAGGAACACAAAGGCCTAGAGAGCCTGGTAGCAGCATTCTTCAAATACGCCACCCTGTCTTTTTAGGAGCCCGCAAACACTGGCTGGAGAGATGGCTTGGTATTTTAAAGGATTTGTTGCTCTCGTGGATGACCCTGGTAGGGTTCCCAGCATCCACATGGTGGCTCACAACCGTCTGTAACTTCAGTTCTAGGGGATGTGATACCCTCTTCTGGCCTCTGTAGGCACCAGGTACACACATGGCAAACATACATACATGCAGGAAAGCATTAACAAATACATGTATGTATGTATTTCTATCCCACTATACACATGCACAACCCCCCACCCCCAGGACCAGCATATGTTTGATGTCACAGGACAACAGCTCCCGGGGAGGGGGAGGCAGGTCCACGGCAAACATTGGTTAACACACCTACAAATGTGCAGAGGTAACGGGATGAGTGAGCATGGGTTCCTCAGAGGAGGTAAGCCTAGCCTTGGGACCTGAGTAGTTTAGCAGAGCAAGGGGCAGGTGTGTACAATTCTTGGCCGAGACACATCAGATTAAGGTAAATAATTTTGGATACTCAAAAGGCGGCAACTGAATTAGAAAGCTCTTGGGATGGAATATGGTATTTTCAACGTCTATCATCCATCCAAATCAGAATTCTGCCTGCTTTTCATCCTAAAGCTCAGCACATGATAGGGACGTCAAAGATGAGCATTTATATCGGTATTGCGGAGAGGATATCTTATTTTGTTGCTACTGTGGGCAATTTGCATGAATAAAGCCTAGAGTCACAAGTGGTAAACAATGAGGACGATTCCTTTTAGTTATTGTCGTACAGGCAACTCGAAAATGCCACCCCTTACTTAACAATCCTTTATTGGTGGTATCTTCTGCATTCATTTCCTTTCCCATTTTTTTAAGGTAGAGAAAAACAATAGGGAGAAAGGGGTGTTAAAAAAAATCAAAAGACCGGGGTTTTGTGTTGTCTTCCAAAACGAAATGAACCAAATACCAACACACCGGAAAATCTGAACAAAAAGTCAACGCGTCCTCCGCGCTCCCGCCCCGCCTGCCGACGCCCAACAGGTGCTTCCCCGCCCTCCCGGAGCCGCCGATCCTCAGGTCGCCGCAGAGCACCCGCCTGGGGCCCGCCCGTACTCACGGCCGCTCGGCGGTCCGCGGCCCGGTCCGTAGCGCCCATCCGGCCCAGGCTCGGTCGGCGCGGACTCGGCTTTCAGGCGGTCCCGGTGCGGCCCGGAACGCGTTCCGGCCGTTGGCGCCCCAGCCCCGCGCGAGGCATCTTCCTGCCGCCGCCCCGCGGGCCGCCTGCCCTTTGTTTTGGAGCGGTGGCCCGGCCCAGCCGCCATAAACGGCCTCGGAACGCCGCGCCGGCCAATCGGTGCCCGCGCCACGCCCTCGCCGCCACGCCCCTCCGCCGTGCCCCGCCCTCGTCCTGCCCCACGCGTCCACACGCGTTTCGCTGCGCCCCAGGCACTCGGCTTGAGCGGCCTGCCCTTGGCTGAGATCGCTGGGGTCTCGAGGGTCGGGGCCTGGAGAAAAACTGCCTGAGTCCGGAATCCGAGGCGACTGAGCAGGTAGCTGGGCTGTGGGTAGGGAGGTCCAGGCCCTAAGAAGGCCACATGGCCCAGCTTTCCCACAGGTTTGCGCCTCAGGCGGCACGCAGAAGAACCTCTGCAGTTGGATTCCTGGAGTGCAAGCTTTTTTGGCTTCTCCATCCCGAACCCCCTTTCTCAACTCTCCAAGATCTCCGAGGACTTGAACTGTGGAACCCCCAGTTCAGATCTCCCGCCTACAACACAAGCAGCCTACATCCACTTGTCTCGTCCATATTCCTGTTTTTTTTTCTTGGTCTCTTTAGATCGATTCTTAAATAAAAGTACACTGCTGAGGGCGGGTGTGCACATTTTAATACGTGCTAGCACCCTCTAGAGTGTTAGGATTTATTGTATTGAAAATGCTCCTAATTGATTAGATTGCTGCTTTTATTGCCAGGTACCTGTGATGAGAGACCTCTGACCCTAGGCTAAGTGACAGGAGCCACAAGCAGTTTCCACAAGAAAAAGGGAACCTAAGCCCATCACCAACTGTGTCAACATCAGTCCCTAACCCATTGTCTTTAAGAATACTGGGAACTAGATGGCCTCTTGATCTGCTGGTCATAAATCCCCCAGACCACAGGATGTGTTAATCAGCCCCCACCCCCTACCTGAACAAACGACAGTTACAGCCTCTTTGCTCAATACCCTTTGTCTTGTGATAACCTTGCACGGAAACTTTGTAACCATGGAAATCTTGTGACATGAGATCAGGGGTCTCATGACCCCCTTCCCTTCTTGTTCTTTTTAAAAACACCTTGCATCCGTAGTTGGGGCTTCCACTCTCCCAATGAGAGTGAGGCCCCAGCTAATTGGTTTTCGAAATAAAACCTTTTATGTGCTTGCATTCGGGTGTCGCTGGCTCTTTGGATTTTGAGGTCATCTGGTGGGCACAACAGTACCCATGAGTTGCCATTTACTTAGCGACTCACTCAAGTGATCGATTACTCTCTTCTATATCCTTCCTAGCTAGAAGATGGAATCTCATGGTTTTGGGTTTGGTTTTTTTGTTTTGTTTTTCATATAGCTTTGGAGCCTGTCCTGGAAGTAGCTCTTGTAGACCAGGTTGGTCTCAGACTCACAGAGATCCGCCTGCCTCTGCCTTCCGAGTGCTGGGATTAAAGTCATGCACCTCCAGTGCCCGGCGGTTTTTGGTTTTTAAGATATAGTCTCTGTAATTCAAGCTGGCCTCAACTGTGTAGCCCAAGGATGACCTTGAGCTTTACTTTTAAACTTACTGTGTGAATAAGCGTGTGCTTCTGTGCATTCAGCATGCCGCGGAGAATATAGGACAGCTCTGATTCTCTCCTACCATGTGGGTCCTGGGGTTTGAACTCAGGTCATCAGGCTTGACAGCAAGCGCCTTTACCCACTGAACCATCTAGCTGGCCCTTTTATTTTTAAAGGATTTAATCTAATTTTTAAAGGTTTATTTTTATATACATGGATGTGTATGTTACATACCTGCACACCCACAGAGGCCAGAAGAGGGCATCAATTTTCAGGAGCTGGAATTACTGGTGGTTTTGAACCACTCAAGGGGTTCCTGGAACCTTCTTATTTTCATGGTGTGTGTGTGTGTGTGTGTGTGTGTGTGTGTGTGTGTGTGTGTGTGTAAGAGAGAGACAGAGACACAGAGATCTATTGTGTTTAAGAGATGCTTGCTGAATTCGAGGCCAGGCTGGACCGACAGCCTCCAAAACAATACAGAGAAACCCTGTCTCGAAAAACCAAAAAAAAAAAAAAAAAAAAAAAAGATGCTTGCATGAACATAAGGGTGGTTATTTGCTGGAGCAAGGGCAACTTACCAGTGACTACACCACTAAAGACAGATTCTAACATGGTGGGGTATACCTTTAATCCTGGCAGAGATAGGTGGGAGTCTGTGATTCTCTGTGAGTTCCACCTGTCTATGGAACTCCATAGTGAATTCCAGCCAGGGCTACATAGTGAGAGACCCTGTTCCCAAAGGAGGGTGAGATTTAAAATGGTTAGAGAAATGACTAGAGGGTTAAGAGCCCTTGGTGCTCTTGCAGGACCCAAGTTCATTTCCCAGCACACACATTACAACTCACTTAGAGAATCTAATACCTTTTTCTGGCCTTCATAGTCATCTAAACATACATGCAGATAAACACAGGTATATATATGCAGACACAGACACATAAATTTAAAATATACTATAAATCTCACAGGTACATACATGCAGACACAGACTATACTATACTATAAATCTTTAAAAAGCAGGTTTGATATCCCCAGTAACTATTAACTATCAGTAGATCTCCAGGGAGGGTGGAGTCTTGTAATTCTTCTCCCACCGGTGATAATGTGTTTGGGCCCTATCTTGTGCTGTGAGTTCCTGAGTACAGCAACCATATCATGTTCAGAAGACTGTTTCACAGACCCCTCCCCATCCTCCAGCTGTTACATTCCTTTTGCCCTGTCCTCACAGGTTCCTGAGCCGTGGAGGTTCAGATACAGATGTCCTGTTTAGGGCTGAGCATTCAACAGTCTTGTTTCAACACTTTAACCAGTTATGACTGTTAATTCTTGGCCACTGTAAACGGAAGCTTCTCTGACCAAGGTTGAAGGCAGCCCTGGTCCACACACAAACATTTAGAAGGCAGTTTGACCACACACCCATTGAACAGGACAGCTGGCACGCCCCCAGGGCTGATCACCTCCTTAGTATGGCCTTTCTTGTTTGTTGGTTGTTTTTTTGAGACAGGGATTCACTGTATAGCCCTGGCTCTCCTGGAACTTGATTATGTAGACCAAGCTGGCCTTGAACTCAGAGATTCCCTTGCCTCTGCCTCCTGAGGGCCTGGGATCAAAGGTGTTACCATGACTGCATCATGGCTGCCTCTAGAGTTGGCTTTTGATCATCCATATAGGCTACTCTGTTCAACAGACTTGTTTTTCTTTTCTTTCTTTCTTTTTTTTTTTTTTGTTTTTTAAGTCAGGGTTTCTCTGTGTAACAGTCCTGGCTATCCAGGAACTTGATTTGTAGACCAGGCTGGCCTTGAACTCACAGAGATCCGCCTGCCTCTGCCTCCCGGGTGCTGGAATTAAAGACGTGTCCCTTTTAGCTTCCTGGCCTCTAGAAGCACTCCAGGACAGACACATGAATCTAAAAATTTTAAGAGCTAGAATCCACATTGAGAGAGAATGTGTTATTTGATACTCCAAGAATTTTTGTGAAGCTGGGCAGTGATGACACACAACTCAAATCCTAGCACCCAGGAGGCAGAGGCAGGCAGATCTCTGATTCAAGGCCAGCCTGATCTAGAGAGTGAGTTCCAGGGCAGCCAGGGCTACACAGAGAAACCCTATCTTGAAAAACCAAAAATGAAACAAACAATCCACCCACCCAACCAGAAACAAACAACAAAACACAAAACAATTTTTGTGTTTGTCCAGTGTGGTGGCACACACCTTTGATTGCAATGATTGGAGGGAGGGGAAGCAGAGTCTGGTTTCCAGGCAAGCCAGAGTTATATGAGACCTTGCTGTTAAAAAAAAAAAAACAAAAAACAAAAAACGACCACCCTTTCAGAGTTCATGCAAATCTCTGTATCCTCCAGTTTTGGTATATGTGCTGCTGGAGGGCGCACCTATAACCTTGAAACTTCTAATTCTCCTGACTGCTGAGATTATAGGTGTGTACCACCGTGCCCACCTGCTTCATTTGGTATAAGGGTAAATGGAGAGCCTGAAGCATGCTTGTGCAAGGTCTGTACCAAGTAAGCTCTAGCCCAGCCCACTGTGACTTATTCACATAGGTTTACCATCCTTTTTTTGTTTGTTTTGTTTTGTTTTGAGACAGGGTTTCTCTGTATTGCTTTGGAGGTTGTCCTGGAACTTGCTCTGTAGACCAGGATGGCCTTGAACTCACAGAGATCTGCCTGCCTGTGCCTCCTGAGTGCTGTGATTAATAAAGGCTTGCACCACCAATGCCCAGCTAGGTTTAGCATCCTTTATCAGCTACTCCAGATTGCAGGATTTAGCATCCTATCTGCTACTCCAGATTGCAGATTTGCTCTTTTTCATGATTTTTTTTCAAAAGATTTCAAGTTTTTTTTCTTAAGTATTGTAAGTCCCTGTTGTTTTTGCTAAGTTAAAAACACTGGGGAAAAAAACAATTTTGACAAGATTCAGACATAAACTAAAATTCTGTTATGCAATAGTTCCCCAGGCCCTGGCAGTCATCACTCTTTGTGTATAAATCCGGTTACTTTATATACCTTACATAAATGAGATCACAAACTGTCCTTTTGTGACTTACTTCACTTAGTGTATTAATACCAAGGTTCATCCATGCATGCCTTAGAATTTCTCTCCTCTCTAGGGAGGTATAACACTGTTGCCAATAGATCACTTACTGCCCTGTGATCTCGGACTGCTAACATCTAGCTAGGGTGAACAATGCTGCTATGCATGAGTGCACGCATATCTGCTCTAGACCTTGCTTTAAAAAAAGATACAATGTATTTAAGTCATAGCCATGCCCTACCCAGTGAAGGACCTCCCCAAACATCTGGCCATCCACTGGCACATGGGCCCATCTACCAAATGCGGTGCTGATGAAAACTGACTCTCCCTCTCCTATGGCCGAAGGCTCCTTGGTTACAGGTGGGCATCTGAAGCTCCTGTGGAGTACTGCCTGACTTGGTTATGTCCAGGTGCCATAGCTGCTTTGAGTTCCTGGGTGTCATGTCCCTGCCATGTCCAGAAGACACTGAACACACAGACGTGGTTCAAGAGTAACAGAAGCATAGGGGTGAGTTTTGTTTTTTAAATTTTTATTTTTCGGCTGGAGAGACGGCTCAGTGGTTGAGAGTACTGACTGCTTTTCCAGAGGTCCTGAGTTCAATTCCCTGCAACCATGTTGGCTAGCAACCACCTGTAATGCCCTCTTCTGGCCTGTAGGGACACACTGCAGACAGAACACTGCATACATAATAAATAAATTATTTTAAAATGTATTTATTTATTTTTGAGACAGGGTTTCTCTGTAACTGCCCTGCCTGTACTGGAACTCACTTTGTAGACCAGGAGGGCACTGAACTCACAGAGATCCACCTGCCTCTGTCTCCCAAGTGCTGGGATTAAAGGTGTGTACCACCAAGCTCAGCAAGGCTGAGTAAGTATCTGGAATAGGTTTTTCAGTTTTTTGTTTTTTGTTTTTCGAGCCAGGGTTTCTCTGTATTGTTTTGGAGACTGTCCTGGAACTCGCTTTGTAGACCAGGCTGGCCTCGAACTCACAGAGATCTGCCTGCCTCTGCCTCCCGAGTGCTGGGATTAAAGGCGTGCGCCACCAATGCCCGGCCAGGCTTTTCAGTTTGCTGACACCTACAGTCACTGAAGCCTCTCCTAGGAGCTTAGAGTATTCAAAGCCCACGGTGTAGATTATATTACAAACCGAGGGAGACAAACGCATCTGATTATCCTGATTCACCAACTGTAAGAGGCAATGAACTTGGTGACTGTGTATAAAACTTTTGACAGTTTGTGGGAAAACAAGGAAAATGATGACATCAATTGGTTGATTATTAGCACCACTGGATAAATTGGCAAAGGAAAAGAATGAGCTCTGAGGTAAAAGTAACCAACTTCTAGCATCTCAGAATAGTGAAGGATGATGGTGAATTTAGTGATAAAACTGACCAGCTCCAGATGCCCATTTAACAGTCTAAAGGTGTCCAAGTATGCCCAGGAGAGAATCTTCTCCAGCAGCCAGAGAGCTCAAGTTGCTCTGTGGAAAAAATCAACTGAAGCCCTTGTTAGAACGTTGGCATAATTACAACTAAATTAAAGCCCCAGCCTCAGAAGGTGCTGGCAGTT